TTTGTGATGTCTTATATAGTTATTATGAAGATATGTCAATTCAATAAGCATTTGCTCATTATTTCCAGTATCAGAGCTACAGCTGTGGTTTCTCTTCAAAATAATGGCTTGGAATATGCTGTTTCTCTTCAAAAATATTTTTTCATAAGTGTTGATAGATGTATTTGTGATCATCACACTTTTCCTCAAGCTGTTATTGTGTTATTCAGGAAAAAATGTACTTTGCTTTATTAAGCATCCATAATCCAGTACAAAAATGTAGTGCCTTTTTTTTTTTGGCAATTGTGTGAAGAAGGGAGAATTTCTGTTTCATAAATGAATGGTTATTAGCTAAGACCATAAACATTAACTTAATTAAAATCTCAGTTGTTATACTATTGTAACGTGTGAATGCTGAGCTATTGTAAAAATTGGGTCATTTGGAGGTAAAATAGGGGGTAAGCTCTACTGAAAATATTGTCCTAAATGCTTAAGTATAAATAAATGGAGGCAGTTCTGAATAGACAGGCAGTACATATAATGAATGCAGGTGAAATTAAGGATTAAACTCGTGTCATAAGCATTAAACAGCACTATTACTAGTAAATAAAAATGGAGCATCTTACTGGCTGAATTTTCAGAGGTAAGTAATGTGGGTGCATTCACAAAAATACTCTTCGTTCTTGTGAGAAGCTTGCAAAACTCCCATCTTAGGACATGCAAACAAGATGTAATATACATGCGTTTATCTTTGTTGGGCTCAACTATTGTGCTGTCCCTTCAAAATTTGGGTCTACACTGCTGTTTAGCAGAAACGTTATTTTCAGGAAATGGCTACTGTGGTTTCTGTTCGGTGGTTGCTTAGTAACTAGGTGATTCTAAACACAAATTTATTCATTGTATATTAAAAACAAATTAATGGTATTGATCACCTCATACAATGTTTATAACAAATGTACCTATGTGCATATGACCCAGCAATTGCAGGAGTCTTATGTTTGAACTTAAGCACGTGCATAAGTGTTTTCAGGATTGGGACTTGAGATGGTGAAATAGTGATAATAGGATCAACTGATATTTCAGTGTTAAGGTAATTTATATATCCTGCCAGCAATGCCTTATATGGCTGCTAGTCAAACATATTTTACTGCCTATAATTTTTAGTGTTATTTTCATCTAAAAGGTTGGTGAAGATGGCAGACTGCTTATGCTACAAATGCTTCCTTAGCTTTTCAGTGTCTGTGAGGTTTTATACAGCTGTGCATGCAATACATTGCCAGTTGACTTAATTTTTTTTAAATTGAAACATCTGTTGTGGAGACTGTATATTTATCATTGAAATACCTAGGTAGTTTCAAAAGCAGTTAAATATTTATAGAACTACACAGAAACACTTTCTCACAAAAATATCTTGGGAAGGAAGGAAGACTTTTTCAAGTACTGTGATACTGGTGAAATAAGATGAGATAAAGCACTACTTTTCTGCTATCAGGGAAAATGGCATCAAAAGGCCTTACAATATATTGATTTCTGTCCTAGCAAGGATAAATTTAGTACCTTGGAAAACAGAGTTGTTTTTTCACTTTGTTCCGTTAGACTATTGTAAGTCATCTTACAGCGCTGACTTTCGTTAAAAAAACCTCATATTCACATCTCTGGAAACAAGACTCAGCCATATGGGGTAGAAAGAGTTTTCATGTAAGAGAATTAAGCGTGCAACAAAAAGTAAACAAGAATAACACTATGCCACTTATTCTTGTGTTGTGGGGAAAATGCTGTTATAGATATCAGCTAATTCTGTGAAGTTTGTACATGCTGTGGAAATGGCTGTGGGGCTTACAATGGTCTTAATGTAATAAATGCATCTGAATAAAAAGAATGACTTAGGGATGTTGTGTGAAAGTGGGGAAGGATGAACTGAATTGGATGTTCAAGATCTTGAAGACCACCGGAGAAGGGGACCAGTTTTCTACTTGCCTAGGTGATGAACCTGCCAAGTCAGATGATGTCAGAGCACAATTATTGTCAGGTGTTTTTTTAAATCCTTCTAAATTTGTTTTATTTTCCACTTCTTGCAGCCTACTTTTCAAAGCTAAAAAATTACGCTCCTCTCTCTGCTGGATTTGTCATTCTTTATTTGACAAATACACAGGCAATTTTTTAAAAATCTTATTTTAAAAAGCAATATGCATGAGGGCAAAACACTTCAGATATTTAGAATCTGAAAGGCTTTCCCCACCAGGTCGTAACAGTAGCATTAAGGCTTGTTAATGATTTGGACCAAAACAAATTATTTCTTTTTAAATTTGTCTTGAAAGCTGTAAAATATGCCATTACCAAAATACTGTTGGAAAATACTTTAGATATAATGATATCCAAGAACACTGCTGTTTTTTTTCTTAAATAGCAAAAGAAGTAATAATAAAAAATAGTTTTGTCAAGAATTGTCATATACATAGTTGTGATGTTTATTGAACAAAGTGAAGCTTTTATATTCAAGCTTTGAATTGCAGGAAGGTTGCATTACAATATTTTTTATATTTACCATCTGCATGTAATGTTACCTCAAAGTTGATGGTGATGCACAGTGGGCGTGTCTACACATTCATTAATATGCAGTAATTACTACACATTTAATTTAGTACTTGCTTAATAAAGTACTAACTAAATGTGCTGGCGAACACCTTTTTAGTGATGTGGAGTAGCCTAATAATACTGTGCAGTAGCATATTAGCACTGCCTGTGGTGTGATGTGCTACTGTACATTAAGCGTCTTGTGTAGATGTACCCAGTGATATTAATTACAGATTACATCACATATTGTATATCAACGTATGCATTTAAATGCAAAGGTACATGCTGTTTATTCAAGAAGGTTCTCTGAGCAAGGCAGTAAATTATGTTTAATGTTTTTTGTTTTACAGCTTCTATGTTTTTGAAGCAAGCTTTTGAAGGAGAATACCCTAAATTACTGAGACTTTATAATGACTTGTGGAAGCGGCTGCAACAATATAGTCAAAATATTCAAAGAAATTTTAGTGCAAGTGGAAGTACAGATCTTTTAGCTGAACTGCAGCAGATGGAAGAAGATACTCAAGACATATTCATGCAAAAGAAACAGGATTATGAGTATGTGAATTATGAACTGCTGTACCCACTAGGATAGCATATAGAGTGCTAGCTCCTTAGAATATGCTTTAAGAGGGAATATTTTTAGCTCAGAATTCAATTTTATTCCACTTCATGGAGCAGGAAATACATTGCAGGACAACTGGAATGTTTAGGATTTTATCAGCAGTCTAGCTGTCAACTATTTTTTCTGTAAGATTATGACATACAAATATTCATACATGAGAGCTCTAACATTTTTGTTAGATTCAATAATTAGGTACGTTGGGTTGTCTTATTTGCAGATCTTCTACCGTTTACTTTGCATTTAGTTTTGTCTTCAAATCTAGATATAGCTGTAGAGAACTGGAATTACTGCGACTACTGTAGTATCTTCCTTTACTTACTGGTTGCATAATCATGGGGGGAGGTGAAATGCTCAGTTCTTGATGATTCTTAGTGTATATTTTTACAGGTTCTGGTATATATGTGTTTTGAGTGCCAGGTGTAGGAGCATTTGTTTAGAACTTCTGAGAAATCCATAATGAATTTATAGTTTAGAACAAATATTTAGAGTGAGATTTCTAAAAGTACTTTGCCTTGGCTTCACTGTGATCCCATTCAAGTCTAAGAGTTTTACCATTGCCCTCAGTAGAAGCAGAATAAGGTCCATGGTAAACTCTCCAGAAATTATTACATACAAAATTTGGATATTGGCTAGTATTCATTCATTTTCACTAATAGAATTGTAATGGCTGACGTATATTCAAAATTAATTTTGAAGCCTACCCAAAAATGGATTTTTCTACCTTAAGTTTTGTATAGTTAGCTGCAAAATAGATAAAAATGTTTTTGGGTGGGTCACATTTTATCTATAAATGAGTTACATGGCTGGAAAGAAGACTCTGATTTCAGTTTTGACTCGTGTTTGAAGTGTGCATCTCAAGGATAGCTTATTGTAGGAATTCCAAATTTGTTAAATACAAAAAGTAACGCTATCTACCATCACAGCTGCAACACCACTTCAACAATACTTAAATACAGTAGGCTCCAGGGAAAACTAGTGCATGGAGCTGAACCGAATTGCACAGGATAACTAAATGAGCAGTTATTGAATTGAAAGGAAAAAGAATTCCTGGGTGTTATACAAATCTAACTTACAACCTTTGTTAGCAGAATGAATGGCTGAGAGAGCAAGCAAGACTGGGCTGGGACTACTGCAGATTTTATA